CGACGGAATCCAGCAGTGGGAACTGTGGATAGAAAGGGGCGCACTTTTTTTCGTTATTGCCCAGTAGATCAATGGAAAAGTACTGCGGCCGTTGAGGATTGCCATGACAGCTCCGCAAGAGATCGTTGCATGCGATGATCTGGCTTCGTTCCTGCCACCACAGGGCTTAATTTCACACATTCCCTAATCGCACTCTTTGTGTGACTGCACTTCTCAGTGAACCCCACGAAAAGCAGCAGCGATCCCTTCGAAGCGCGCGATCTTAGGCGGCAACAGCGAGGCGATTTTTAGGGAGATGTTACCATTGGCAATCTTCTGATTTTTTCAGACGTTTTAATCTGTAATAGGTATAATAACAGCACCATACTATCGGTTTTTATTGGAGGGTATGCAAGTGTGCAGTTGCACGGTCTAATGGAAAGATAGCATTTTATATATAATGGGTAGAGTTCAGCGTCTCAGGGCTGGGTAGCTTCTTCGACACATTCGAGTAACAACGTTGATCAGTTTTCAGCAGCAGTATGTATTGGCCATCCCGCATGGAATAGTGCTGACAAAGTTCATTGCAGGTTTTCCATCGATGTCAGCGTTACGGCTGAATCGAGATTCGTCTTTGGCGAACCATACATGTGAAAATCATCAACGTTTCGGCGAATCTGAACAATCGGCTAAAAGCGGAATGGCTGGTTGTGTTACGGAGGTTGCTGTAGTTTCTCTATCAAAAACAATGAGTTCCAATAGGAAAACCTCGCTAAATAGATCCCAGAGTAAATCATAATATATAATTATGTGGTACTTCAGTGAGCGGGAGACCAGGATCCTGTACATTCGAAACGTTCGTAAAATGAAAATTACCGATATACATAAGCAAGATAAACATAAGATTCATGTAAAGCTTTTCAGAGGTCCTACTGTTGTTATATATAAATTGTTAACTGCACTGCGATACTGCATTTCAAACAGTACAAGTTTTGTGTTAATGAAAGATGAAATAAGTTCAAAGGAAAAATAAGGAGTGAATACTGACGAAAATATACATCTAGCTTGTCGATTTTCTTGTCTAGAAGTACGATAAAGCTGAATAAGTTTTGGAAACCAAAATGCGAATTCAGTATTATCTAGTGGTTACTGGAAATAGGTTTTTAAGATCCGAATGAATTCTAATTCTGCGGAACACCGACATGTGAAGGGAGTTTGGGTAGCTGGAGAGATTGAGTTTACTGAAATTCAGAAGGGCCTGGGTTTGGAGGTTTCCTGTGTTGTTAGCGTCAGAGCAAACCAAGGGATACGGTATGCCTGTGCATTCTAATTTATCTATTTGGGTCGGAGAACTAATGTCTTTGCATTCACTTCTGGAAATTGATGGTAGCTCGATGTGGGTGGGTCAAGTGGCTCCTTGGGTCACAAGTTAGACTATCTGCAGCGGTTTTGTGCCGAAGGGAGTGCTCAGAGTGACACATTGGGGGCGTTTAATTGCGTTGAGTGAGCCTCTCATGTTGTGCTTCGCCCTCATAGGAACTGTATTATGAACAAGAACTCGGGCATTAACCATCTGCTCACACCAGTCCATAGCACGTAGATGTTGATCTGTGCTTTCCTAACAACTCGTACATCCTAGGTCCGTACCAATTTGCTCCTTCAGTACAGTTCCATAACTTTCCTCCTATGCGGGTTTGCAAATTTATAAGCCCTTTCTCTTGGGAAGCCGCTTATTTAGGGTCCTAATCATCGCGTATTCCCGACATAAGCTTGGCTCTGGTCGAAGTCTTTTAAGCCACGCACTTTTGATTGTCAATGCTGCACCTACTCTCCCACAAAGCATTCTTAGTCTACCACACGAAAAACATGTTTTTTTTACTAGTAATGATTGAATGGTGAAGCACGTGCAAGACTGGTTCTGATCGAGTTTCGTATTTTCGATTACGAAGAATAATTGATGAGATTTCAAAGATGAGAAACAAAAAAATTCGAAAATTCGAGGCCATCATGGACAAGAAATCGTCACGGGCTCTGATGCTGATTTTGACTACATTCACCTATCTACTACTGGGAGCAGCTGTGTTTGATATATTGGAAAGTGAAACGGAAAGCTATGTTCGGGAAGAGCTCGCAATTGTTCGGGAAAAACTTCAAAGGAAATATAACTTTACTCGAAGGTTGGTTTTGTTATATATGATAAAGGGATTACGGGTGATTTATCAAAAAAAGAATTATTTTGTTTTAAGAGACTTCGAGCTTTTCGAGTCGGTTGCTATCAAGAGCATTCCTCATAAAGCCGGTTTCCAATGGCAGTTTTCTGGAGCGTTTTACTTTGCAACAGTCGTCATCACAACAGTAGGTAAGGGGTTTTGCTGAAGTTCCCATTGATTGGCGTTCTAGATGTTTGGTTGCTAAGAATGTTCTTCTGAGTCCCTCTGTCATGTTCTTTAACCAGTAATCTTTAATGTAATCTATTGTCATCAAAAGTAACAGTACGAATCGAAAAGTCATATGTCGAAGCACGTGCTCGAAGTTTATCGATCCTCATCGATTAGTTTATCGACTACAAATAGTTTTTTGCAATTTTTTCGGCATTAAGGCACTAAACACCGCAAAGCATGTGTGACTTAAAAAACAAGTTCTTTTTTTTTGCAAACTGAGTAACGCTCCGAGGGCAGAAATCGTGCTGAGTTGGTGGGCGGGGCTACCTGATGGAAGGCGGCCCCGCCCACATTCTCACGAAGATGTGCAGTTCGAAGGGCGGATGGAGGAAAAAAATCCATAGCAAGCGCAGATCTTAAGACTAATATGATTCCGTCTCCTTTGAAATACTCTCTTAATATTAGAATTTTACGTCATCTTACCTTGATGCCGTTTTTCAGGTTATGGGCATTCTGCACCGGAGACAATGGCTGGCCGATTCTTCTGTATGATCTTTGCCCTAGCAGGAATACCATTAGGATTGATCATGTTTCAATCGATTGGCGAACGTGTCAATACATTTATTGCTTTTTGGCTACATAAGGTTGCTTATAAGTTATTACAGTAGTTTACAACTGGAATTACTTTGTAATGCTTATGGTTTAAGATGCGATTCTACCTGCAGTCTAACGGGGTCAACTGTTTCCACGAGGTCACACCGACACATCTACTTGTTGTTTCACTTTCGATCGGAACCAGTATCATTATTATTGGTTAGTAAGGTGGTAGAAACTTCCAATGGATTGGTTCATGACCAAATGACTTCAAAATTTTTCAGGAACGATCGTATTCCATAAAGAGGAACGTTGGACTCTATTCGATGCCTACTACTACTGCTTCATTACCTGTAATTTTTGCTATTCAGAAGTATACAGTCACAGCCATTCTATCCACTTCCTAATATTGCTGGAAATGGACAGAAAATTCATGGATAGAAACTTTTTAGATGGATAAACTTCAGTTTCCCCATTAATAAGGTTTCTTTCAGTGTCAACAATTGGATTTGGCGATCTCGTACCTCTTCAACAGGGATCGGCCCTCCAACTTCAGCCCCTCTACGTGATTTTCACCCTCCTGTTCGTCCTTCTGGGGCTGGCGGTCTTTTCGGCTTGTGTGAACTTACTGGTTTTAGGGTAGGTCAAACAGTCCCGAATTCTTTCATCAGAGGATTTTGCAATACTACGACCGATTTTTAATAGAAATCTGTATCTGTAGAGAGGCTATTGACCCTGATTTCTTTCAGGTTCATGGCCCCAAATGCTGATGTGGTGACGGCAGCTATCAGAGAGCCACAAAGCACAATTGTATTTGAGCGATTTGCAAGGTAAAGACTTCCTTTATTCCTAGTCTTTACTTTCAGTTTGTACCAGAAACCTGTAACTTTTCAGAAAAAGGATAATTTTGAAGGATAGAAATGAAACTTGGGAAATCAAATTGGGCGGGATGGGCTATATATGAAATTTCTGATTGAAAATTTTGTTTGTTTGTTCGAAAGTAAATTTAGCAATTTGCTCAACACAGCCTCGATCATAGGCAGACAGTCTTGTCCTTCCACATTAGGCAGACGATCAGTCTCGACATTGAAATCCTGCAAGCGTGACTGGGCATCGCCCATTTCAGAGTTTAGCAAAGGCGCCATGCTTTTTTTTTTTCGTGGCCCCACCCTTCCTGCCTATAGTGCTTTCCTATGGAGAAGGTAGAATTGCTGCGTCTTCAAAAATCTCAATCCCATAACAGGAAGTAGCACTCTATTTGTGGAAGCTTCAGGTGATCGGAAAATATTTTTTGGAGGTTGAACCAACATCAGGCCCGACACACTGGAAAAATGCTTTAGACAAGTCTTTAAGTATTTCAAGAAGTTGGGAGTGTGTAATCATTATCGATCCATGATCGACTTTGTTGCAATCTTGGCATGATATACAGTAAAGATACGTCCTGTTCAAGCCTCACAAGATTGAATACTTTATGTGGCCAACGTATCGGCTGCTTCGCCTTCGTCAGGGCATTATCGATCCACCCACAGCGTGTGGCATTTCTTAGCTATTTGTCTCGCTGCGTGATATTTTTATGTTAGCTGAGTTGGAAAATTGCCTCGCAGGTGCATCCCGTTCGCAACTCCCAGTCAGCATTGGCT